CAGAAATATCCAAATTACAAATGCAGTGTTTCAGGGGAGTTTCTTAATATTATTTTCATATTATAGTTCATTATTTTTATATTATTTAGTATTAGTTTATTTTAGAATTATTTTGATTTAGTATTAGTTTATTTTAAGGTCTTCATATATATTAGTTAGTTTAATATTTAAGTTTTTTAAATTATTTTTAAGACCCCTTCCATCTTAGTCAATAAATAATTAAGTGGATCTTAAGAGGTTTTCCATTGTGCTTGATATGGATGCATAATGAATAATTACATGAAATTGGTTGATAGTTGATATCAAGAGTATAATGATGTAAATAAATTTTATTTTCGTACATAAATGAGCGTCAGTCAAGCATGCTTCATAGTTCACTGGAATAAGAGAAGAATAACTAGAGTAATCAAAGAGAGAGTGGAAAAATAAGTCTCACATCCTTAGCCGTAAGCTTTTGAGCCTAAACAGATTTTTTTTTTGTTGTGTGAACTTTACTGTTGAATCACTCTAGAACTTGTTTTGTTTCTCTTTGAAATGGTCTGTAGTATACAATTGTTGAAATGATAGAGGCAGTTCTTTTTAAAAGCTAGATAGCCAAATAGCCACCCTGAAGGTTTATTCTTAGATTAAGCCCTTTTGAGCCGAGGCCTGTTTGTTCATTGACAGTACATTATGAATAGCCATTCCATACACATCCTCACCTGAACTGATTAATTTTCAAAATTAAATGAGGAACTGGATAAGATTGAAACAAAAGAGAAAATCAAACTCTAAGTGTATGGGAGAAAAAGGTGAAAAGAGGGAAATTGCCACAAAGTGGTGGAAAAAGGAAATGAAAAGAAAAAGGTTGAACTGTTTATCTGTACAAAAACAGAAAAAGAAAAACAAAAGGAAGAAGGAAAAGAAATAAAAGACTTATATTATATGAATAAGTGGAAGAAGAAAAGAGGAGGAAAATAAGAGAAATCTGTTTACTATATGTTGAACAGTTAAACTAGTTCCTCTTTGAAGTTGAATTTTGATAAGTTATCTTAAGCCACTTACCCAGATGATTCCTTTCCTTTTACCTAAGCCACGTTACAACCTTAACAAAGACCTCTTGATTGACTTTGTATACTAGTAAGACCGTGGAGAGTGAGAATATAAACAAGCTTATGGTAGTGTTAATTTAGTGAAGTAAGAGTGAAACACACACCTTTAAACACTGAGTATGAGTGAATAAATAAAAATCCAGTGAGAGGGTGTTGTGGAAATTAAATGGTACTACTCTTTCTTTTGAGAACGCATGTTATGATTTTATGACTGGTGAATTATGATTGTTTGCTTGAAATTGATGTGTCATTGATTTTTAATAAATCTGAATACTTTGATATCTCATTATTGATCAGTTTTCTGTCTATTATTCATTAAGCATGACTAGTCGTCTCCAAACTTTCCCATAGTTTTATTCTAATTAATTGCTGAGGACAGCAATGTTCAAATCTGAGAATTGTTTGATAAACCTTTAGTTTATCTTATTTTATAGACTAAATTAATATAAAATATCAAGTTAAATAAGTCAAAAACTAGGGTTTAATATAATAATCATGAACATTATCTGAATTTTTGTTTAATGGAATCATCTTTGCTATTTTTTAGGGATTTGTTGACAAAAGGAGTCAAAGATGAAGATTGGATAAATAGAGATCACAACTAGAAAAGATAAGATCAAGAGATGATAGAAGAAGATCAAAAACAATAAGATTGAAGATCTTATCAAGTTGTTAGAAGTAGGAGCTTAAACCCCCATTCAGAAGCTTAAGCTCCCTAAAAACGCAAATAGCTACTGCCTCTGGGCGCTTAAGCCCCCAACTCAGGGCTTAAGCGCGCCACAAGAAGAAAAAGTTGTCGCGAGGAGCGCGCTTAAGCGCCCTTCAGAGAGCTTCAGCGCGCAACGCGAGTCAAAAATCACTGTCCTGGGGAGCTTAAGCGCGCTACAACAGGCTTAAGCGCCCCGACAGATCCAACTTAGGCCCATTCGAGTTTTCTACTAGGATACGAACTCTTGGCCAATAAAAGGGCCATTGGGGAACAGTAATACATAAATTTTACATTGCTAAACAACTCTTGGGTGCTCGGAGGCTGAAGGAACGCGGAGGACATCAGATTCATGTTCGTGAGCGGCGGAGACGGATCAACGTCAAGTGTTCACTGGAGATATTGAAGATCCACCAATCACTTATGGAGTTTGGGGGAGATTTTCTATTTTCTTTTGTTCTTGATTTTGCCATGTCCGGCTAGTTCTTTAAGAAGTTAGGGTTAGATGGATTTTAGTCGATTTATTATGCTTTGAACAATTCGTACGTTAATTTTCCTTTTTATCTTGAATGAAGTTATCTGTTTTTAATGCTTTATATAGGCTTGAATCTTATATAATGATCATCGGTAAATGCATGACAATAGGGATGTTGGTGTGTGATCCATATCTGATAACTTCATCGTAAACGCTATGATTCTAGGGATAGACATAGAATTTGCGTAACCTTAAGATTCTTGAACTTAATGCTTGCATTCTTGGGGAATAACCGGGGAACTAGGGTTCTTTCAAGTTTGTAAAGGTTTTAGGGTAACAAGGGATTGAGCCCTAATAACACGCGAAAGAATTGGTTAGATTGATATTAAGGACGGTTAACGTAAAGAAGGACTTCGAATCATAATAAGGAGATTAAATGAAATCGAACCCCTAGCTACGTTCTTTTACATTCTTAAATCACATATTTAATTTCACGTTTTTAATTCTTGCGAGTAGTTAGCTTTGATATTTAATAACTTCAATTTTACAATCCAAATCCTGTTTCCGAATACAACTTTGATTGTCCAACTTAAGTTGCGATAGTGAATTGGTGCTTGAACCGTAATCCTCGTGGGAACGATCTCTTACTTAATCATATATTACTTGTACGATCGGTGCACTTGCCGTGAGTAGCAACAACACACACACTCTCTCTCTCTCTCTCTCACACACACATACATATAGCATAACTTATACAAATATTATCATTTTATATAAATATTAATTTAAATTAAAAAACTTATAATAAAAACTATTAATGTATACTATTTTTTTAAGAAATAAAATGTGCCTCAGATCCTTTAATTTTTTTTTTGAAACCTATTGAATTACATTGAAATTGAAAGATTTTACTTTGAATTTTCTTCCTTTCGTTTGTTTTTTTATTTGCAGAAAATAGACACAGAGACTCGAATTTAAAATCGAAAAAATCATTCTCATTCTCTCATTCTCGCATCCTATTCATGTTCACAGTCACACGAGAGAAGAAGAAAGACTGTTGAAATGTCTGACAGCGACAAGGTCGAGCTCCTCCAGATGGCTTAAGCTCAGCGAGATCTCAACTATGGCAAATCCTCCTCCAATTCCTGCAAGCTCGTAGCCAACTACGTCTAGCCACCGTCTTCTCAGCCCAAGAAACTCGTGTCGGGGCCTCCGGCAAAGCAATCACAAAGCAAAGGGAGGGCGATGAGGAAGAAAGAGAGAAAATAAGGGGAAAGGGGCCGAATGGTGGGGAAAATGAGATTAATTTAATACATCATCCCACTACTAAAAAAACTGGTATTATAGGAACGGAAAAATTCCATCCCTAAAAGGCATAAATCCGTCCTTAAAGAAATTAGGGATAGAAATTTTTTTGTCCCTAAATAGCTCCTAGCTAATGTTTTGGGATGAGATTCCTTATCAGGTCTAATCTCACTCCTCTAGGCTTGATAAACTTATACATCGATTTAACGTATTAAGAAATCCTGACGTATAAGCTTATACTATACAATGATTACTTCAAACAACTGAAAATATCATAACGTATAGTATAAACTTATACTATTAGGTCTTCTTATACATCACAACCCTTAGTCGCAGTTAAAGCTCCTTGCCCTTTCCCAAAGATATATTTGGTGAGAATCATTATTTCTCCACCTACTCAGCCTGTATTGCCAATTGATCTACGCTCATTGAGTTGTCTTTTGTTTTTTAATCGGACAAGAATACTATTGGATTAATTTTGATGTTAATTAAACCGGTGCATTAGTTGTGAGAATGAATTCTCCTAAGTATTGATCCAATATTCGAATCTGAATACTTAAAATAAAAAAAGGTATTTAACACTTCTCTCAAAGCTGTATTTAGATAATTTTTGTGAAAAAAGGTTTTTTATGATATAATTTATTATTTTTTGTAAAACTATTCTTTGTAATCTCTTAGAAAAATACTAAAACTGAGTTGTATTTTTGTTTAAATGAAAAAAACTTATTTGATTATTTCAAATTATTTTAGTCTAGATAGTTTTTTGTTAGTAAATTTGTGTTCAAGAAATAACATATGGTGAGAAGGGATTATTTTTCTCAAGATAAAATTATTTATTACTACTTCAAAATGACATCGTTTTGAAATTTATAAAAAAATTACAGGGCATTTTAATAAAATTAATGATACTAGAGGAAAATAATATTTCTACAATACCCGTTATATTTTTTCTAAACTACAAAACAATATCATTTTAGATAGCTGAATATAATTTTATCTCATGTAACAAAAAGAAACACCTTTTTGCATAAATGAATCATAAATCTTAACTTGGGAATTTTTTTATTGAACATTTTCCAATATTAATTAAAGCGTTTTCTATGATCTTGTTGGGCTCTTTAATTTTATCATCTTACCCCTTAATGACACGGGTTCAAACAACATTGAATGTTTAACTCTACCGTCTAGACTCTACTGGAGCTATTCAATTTGCAAATGGAAGAAGAACACAGAGCAAGTCAGAGACAGAAAGAGATAAATGGATAGAGAACACTACATGATTCAGAATACAAGAAAGATCTTACACATCCACACACAGCAATAGCTAGCCGCTGGCACATGCTATATGAATAATGTGCCTATAGCTTCTTTATTAGTTCCCTTCAATTACATCATTTCCAGTGCATAAGTCATCGTAATTTTTTTAGATTGAGCTAAACATACCCTCTTCGGATGATTCCTCGGAGGAAACGATGGCTATGTCTAGTTCAGCAGATTTTTTGTTAACAAAGTTACATTGTTTTCGAATTTCTCCTTTTTTCCCCGTTAGCACACCAATATTACCCATCTTTATCATTGAAGCCTTAAAGGCCTCAAAGAAAACTTCTTGTTTAGTACGGAATTCATTGACAATGCTAATGGTATCTGCACCTGATGTTGAGAACAGTTCTTGGTCACTCTGAAAAAGGCCTTTATGATCCTTAAGATTAACGTAGTAGTTCTTGTCGAATTTATCAGGTGTGGTGGGGTCCAAATTGGTGAGGTTAGTCCCGGATCCACCTTTGGGGCATATTATGCGCAATGCTTGTAAGTAAGTTGTGTTGAGTGTTGGATCAGGTTTGCCAGTGCCGCTGAAGTTGTACAATCGGTTAACGAAAAAAGCGCAATGACCCCTGCCAAATGTATGAGCACCTGAAATTGAAGCATATATGTACTATTTTTTGTTAGAGAATTTTTTGAAGAGTCAAACTATGCAAATTTAAGATTCAGAATTTTGATTGAACTGGTTTCAACAATATTTCCAATTCGTTACATTTTTTTAGCATTATTGATACTTGCAACATAATAACATTAATTGGAAATTATTAATTTCGTACCTGAGAGTGCAACTAGATCAGTAGTATTGAGGCCTTGAGCAGCAAAGGAGGATTTAAGTTGAGTTAGGTTGAAGAAAGGAGATGGAAGGTTTTGATTTGCAAGAGTTCGGTTTGCTGTTAGACTATCCCTTCTTCCCAACGGAACTTCCCAAGAAGGACCATGAGCCTGAAAAGTAAGACGAACAAAATAATATTTATTGATTTCAAAAATGAAACTATTGCAATCGTTTTTTAAATGTTACTCATAGATTTTCTCTAAAATTAAATCAACTTTTGAAGTTAAAATTTTAGTTCTATTGGAAGTTAATTTAACAGTCTTAGTTTTCCCTTCTGAAGTAGAATCCAAACCTTTTTTTTTTCTTTCGTTTTCTTTTGAACCATATAGCATAAAATGAGAATGCTATGTTATAATATAGGATGAGAAATACCAGAACAGAAGATGCTTCGGCAGCAAGGGTAAGAATATCAGCGCAAGAAACTACGCCAGGACAAGTATTTTCCACCGCTGTCTTAATCTGGTTCACAACATCCAAACCTCTTATTGAGTTGTTATTTGGCGCTGCTTGTTGCTCGCTCACAATCGTTGCAGTGTTGTTCAACAAAATTGATCCGTCACAGCCCTGTCACAATCATGGATAATATTTAAGGCAAAAATGTTTATCCTTTTAAATCTTTTAAATGACACAACTTATATCCTTTTCTTTCACTCTCACAAAGAAGTGAGACCCACACCTTTATTTTTTTGTTAAGTCTCTTTCCTCCTTTATCTATCTCTTTCTCTCTTTTAAAATGACACAACTTTACATCCTTTAAAATCACACACACTTTTCCAACCGTATAATCAATTTAATTGGTGTTCCCTCCCAACAACTATGTATGAACTAAAAATAAGAATCAATTTCTCTTCTCAATATTTTATTAGTTCCCAATAGATTTTTTCGACTTTCCAAATCTTTTTACTTTTACTTTTTTTTTTTTTGAAAATATTCCAATCGGTTCATTGCTTCGCAACTAATTCGATTCGGGGCGGGTTCGGGATTAAGGTTTTAAATCTCTCCTAAAAATACTGGAAAAACATAAGATGAAGACGTGCAGTTGTGGGATTTTATTGACTAACAAAAAACTCCTTTTTACGAACCCATGCATTTAATTATCTAATAGCAAAATATAGTTTATTAAAACTTTAGAAGAAAAAAAAAAGTTCATAAATGAGATTTATGGATCCTTTTGTGAATGAAACTGTTTTTGAGAAATTCTTTATGTATCCTCCCATTATTATTGATTGTGAGAGTGTAAAGAATCGATTCAACCCACCCAAAAGTTTAAGTTGTTGGGTAATGAGGCTCTGATACCATGTAAATAACTTTTGGGTTGAATTGGTTATTTACATGCTATCAGAGCCTCGTGTTCCGAGTTCGATCCTCAGCGCCTCCACTTTCTTTCAAGTGGACTTTCTTTGTTCGCACAGGTAGGTGGACCTGTGCATTGTCCACCCTTCAAGCCCAGTGGGCTCTCGTGTGAGGAGACATGTTAAGATATATAATACCATTAATGTAGTCTCACCCAACAGCTTAAGTTTTTGGGTTGAATTTGTTCTTTACAGAGACTTCTTAATTACATGAGCTAATCTCGAATTGAGATATTTTCATGTGGAAAAAACATGACATGGTCATATGGAGAATCATAATCATACAAAGATGGATCAATGACAATAAAAAAAGAGAAAAAAAAATATTGAAATAGATAATTAACAAATCATAACTATTGATTCAATTTTGTATGGTTGTAATTTTTCATATTACAATATTTTATATATATATATATTTGAGGATCCATTTCCGCTAACGTCTAAGAAGATCCAATCCCATTTGTGGAGTAAGAGATTTATTTTGTTTTGTACCATTAATTATGAACTAGGTCAGTTACAGCATTAAAAAAAATAGAGTAGAAAAACAATTATAACTCACATGTAACTAACATGATACCCATTAATTGGCTACAGAGCAAAAAAATTTCTTTAAGGGTATCTAATTTTTTTTCAATATATTTATCCTATATACTCCAATTTCAATGGTTGAGTATTATTGAAAGTGGTTCCGTTACGTAGAGTATTATATACTCTTAATTTGAATTTGTTAAAAGATGTATTTTTTTTTGGAAGAGTCGCTCCCTTTAGATATGGGTCTGACAGACTGGTTTAGTGTCCAATGCATATATATACAGACAAAAAATATTTTGAAAGACACAATCACTATAACTTGACGAGTCTTCGCAAATGAATGAGTTGTAAAATTACCATTCTAACCATATTTTGTTCATATCTCGTTTTTTTTTTTTTCTTTTTTTTGAATAAAGTCATTTTTAGGTCTTAATAAAAAGTATGATCCCGACTTTTGTCTCTTACAAAAAAAAAAAAAAAACATATTAGTTAATTTTTAGAGACTAAATTGAATTTTTATTAAATTTCTAAGGGATCATAAATTGTAGATGAATCAAAAGTTAACTTTTTTTTTTTTTTTTGTAAGGGACGAAAATAGAGATAGTTTTTTTGTTAAGGAGCAAAAGAGGCTTTACTGCTATTTTTTACTTGAAGAGCTTCGAGACGTAGTTTGGACACTTTTGTAACTTTTGCCAAAATTATAACTTTAGGTTCCAAGAAAAAAAAAATCAAACACGTTGTTAGAAAGCAAAATAGAAGATGCGTTTTTGAGCACTTGAAGCATGAAAGAATCAACATGACAAGACAAGGGGGAAAAAAAAGCTGGGATCAAACTTGAGGGTAAGTGATGAATCAGTACATACTTGAACAAAACAGTCATGAAAGTGAAGCCTGACGAGACTTGCAAGCATACGTGGATCCGATTTTGAAACGTTCTTTAGGACATTATGTACAATTTTATGCACCTTGGGACAAGTATCCTGGTAAAACGAAGGATCTAGCTGTGCATCTGAGGAGAAGGGTAGTCCTCCAAGCACAACCACTACACAGATAGCTGTCGCTACTAGACCAAGAGAACTCATTTTTTGTTTTTTTGTCTAAAAATAATTTGATTTTGTTTTGTGTGTTTGTTGTTGCAACGAGCCTTTACTTATAGTGACAAATGGGCATGGCTTGGCTTGTGAATATCGATAAGGACGAGGATGAAAACTATGAGAAATTCTTTGGTAAATAGCAGGTCATTATCAACTAGTGTAAAAAGACGATTTATTATAGATCTGTTTACGTAAAAGGTTATATTATTTACGATTAATTTAGGCTTATCACTTACAACATGTTTGATTATCGTTGGATGAATTTAAAATTAATGACAATTGTTTTTTTTACTCTTTTTCAACTTTTAATTTTAAGTTGATCCAATGATAATCAAATAAATTATAAAAGTATAAGCCTAAATTGATAGTAAAGATAACCGTCTCTATTTATGTTTATTACATTATTTATAATCTTATATATATGGAAAAAATATTTCTCCAGAAACTTGAGATAAGTTTATCTCCGGCCTCTTTAAAACTACTTCATTTTGTTTATTTATTTCCTTATATTATTTGATTCACCTTTGAATGGTTATGATTCTCTTTTTCTCTTTCTTCCTTCATTATCATTGATCTATTTTTGTACAATTATGATTTATTAACCGGAGATAAAATTATCTCCGATAGCTTGAGAAATGATAAGCCATATATATGTATATATATATATAATATAATATAATTCGGTGTTTATGATAGATATATCGTGCTCAAGCAATGTGAACTGCTACTATATGGACCCCATAAAAGCCAAGTACACAGTTGCAATTCTTAATCAACCCATATATTATTATTGCAAAATCAGCACAGATTGTTAACTAATACTTATCTTAATTTACATTTATCTTTTTTTTTTCTCTTTTTGAGATTATGATCTAATGGTATTGAAGAATGATAGACAAAGATAGACAAAAAAATAATAGGTAAAATATCCTATCCTTATTATTAATTCGGTTTTTATTTTTGATCCATTGAAAAATTAAAGACACAACTTTTTATATAATAACTCACACTCTTTCGTCATTAGGTTAACCTTAATGGCTTTTATTAATTCGGTTTTATTCATGAGTGTGGTGGAGTTAGTTATTCAACTTGGCATGAGTCTTGCATTAAAGTACGCTGTGCTTACCAAGCTCTAATATCAAGTTGTCTTACATGTGATGAGATGTTTTGTAAAGAATATTGCGATACACTAACCCAAAAACTAGCTTAAAGGTGAGAGTGCTCAAGGCCTTATAAACTCCATATTAGTTGCACATACATCTAATGTGGAACTATATAGATACGCCCCCTCACACAAGAGTCCATTGGACTTGAAGAGTGAACAATGCAAGAAGCCCAGTCTACCTGTGCTAAGAAACGCCATAAGAGAAAGTGGGGGACGACGAGACTCTGATACCATGTAAAGAACCTTGATATACACCACTCCAAAAGTTAGCTCAAATAGTAAGAATGCTCAAGGTCTTATAAACTCTACATTAATTACGCATACATCTAATATAGAACTATATATCTCAACATGTTTTGTCCATATCTGAACTCTTCCACGCATTCATTTTGAGAATTGACTTCTTTTGGTCTTCTTGTCCATTATTTGTTTAATTATTGCTTCCTTTTCTTGGACAGTTAAAACCTGAAATGAGCAAACTGACTTTCACGGAAAAGCATCACACCGACATATGCTTGACGAGCTGGAAGGCATATTCCTTCTTGTAGCCTAGGATTTCTCAATTACATAAGGTGTTTACGACAATGTTCTTATTATTATTATTAAAAAAATAATAGTTTCATGTTACATAAAAGAGTTATTTTATGCTATATATTCATAGAATTTTATATCAATTTTTTTCTTTTTCTGTTTAAATTATGGATCCTATATATTTATGTCACCCATATGTGTTGGGCAAGTGGCTTCTTACACAGGACGCTTACGAAACACCTAGAGGGGGGTGAATAGGTGTTCTAAACTTTTTCAAAATCTTTTTAAATTCAGTAAACAATTACACAATTTTTCTTCAATCCCTATATGCCCAAAATAGTTTTTCGCAATGCTAAGAACAATGTAGTAACAGAAAGCGTACCTTAGCAATTTATAGAGTATAAACGCAGCAATTATAATAGAATTAGTGTAACTGTCAGTCTATAAACAAAATATTCGGAAATTAAATGAGAGAGACAATGGACACACGATATATCCTGGTTCACACCCACTAAGCCTAAGTAGGGTGCTACGTCCAGACTGAAGTAGCTGCAGATATTTTATTTATCACAAGTGTACCAGTTTTACAAACACGCGTCACACATGCAATCAAACAAGATATCAAAAATCTTCCTAGTGCCTACACTGCTCCAAGCTCTGAGAATACTCTCAAGCCGAACCTACGGAGTTCACCAACTCCTCTCACACAAGACCTCCACTCTCCCTAGTGGATTCTTGAGGCTCCAAGCCTTGAGACACACTCTCAAGCCAAGCACAAGGTCGCCAACCCACACGGTTGCACCAACACACCTAGGACAGATTTACAGCACGCAACTACTCCACTTTATCAAACAATACAGAATTTTCAGAATTGTAACAAGTGAAATAAACCAAAATTACAGTGTCCTATCACACCAAATATATCACAGTAATATCAAACTAAGCTCCACAAATTTATGCCATATGCAGAAAATTAATCCAATGACATATGTATTAAAATCTCTAAAATTAATGCACAAAGGAGCTTGGATATTACACAATTATTTTTCTAATCAATGGACACCAAGAAATCTGATTTAAAAAGAATATCACAATTATAACCAGAAAAATCAGATTTGAAATTTATCTCAAAATTTCACATAAAATTCAGAATTAGTTCTAGATAAATCTTTTAATAATAAACCAAAAGAAATCTGAATTTTAATCACAATATACTTCAATTAAAACAGAAAATTCAGATTTAATATTCCAACAATAAAATTTCTAGAACAATTCAAGAATTTAATATTCAGATTAAACAACTCAAAATCCCTAAAGCATTATGAAATAATAGATCTGGAAATTTCAGATAAAATGCTTCAAATCAAAGATTCATAAAAGATTTGAGTTGATTAGAAAATACCACAATGAAGCCCTAAATTCTTTACTTGATTCAAGCTACTCCCACTAGAAGATGCAGAGCTATGCGTAGCAAGAAGGACTAGTGGTCAACAAAAATTATGAACCAACATTTAAAAGTCGAAGCACCAGGTTCTTTTTCTTGAAGAAAGAGACTCTCTAAAATTTGTTTTCTCTCAAAACGATCGTGTAAAACAAAGTGATGAACTCAGTAGTTGGAAAGATGATTTTCGCTTCTGTGTGCAGTAGTAGAATAACGAGAGAAAGATTTCTTCAAATCGATTTTTTCTTTTTGCAAGACGCCGTAAGCATTCCAGAATACGCATAAGAGAAAGATGAACAGAGACGCTGCTTTTATTTCTTGGATTTGTAAAAGTGATGCCCCTTTTTTTTATTGCTTTCTTTTTATATGCTACTTTTTTGATTTGAAAAATCACGTGAATGAATTTGCACCTGATAGCTTTCTTTTGTTTTTGTTTTCAATAGTTATTACTAATATATATTATATTGTTTTAAAAGAACTCACGTGACCATATATTTTGTTTCAAAGTACTGAACCTGATTGCTTTATCAAATTGTAAAATCTATTTTTCATTTTATTTTAAAAACTATTTTATTTCTAAAATCAATTTAATTTCTATTTCTAAAATGAAATGTATATAATGTAATGGTATGCAATGGAGCTTAGGTAGATATTATATGATATAATTAGTGTGTAACAAAATATCTAAAAATACCTAACCACTTGTATCTTCAAACTCCATCTTCAATTTGAGACTTTTTGTAAACCCTTTGTCATCATCAAAATATGTATTCCATTATGCTTAAGAGGTCTTCAATCTCCCCCTTTGTGATGATGGCAATTTAAACTCAAATTGAAACTAATAAACAAAAATACAGACGCTGTCAAACAAGCATAGCATAAGATATTTAAATCATGTAATCATATACTCCCCCTAAACATATGCATACTAAGAATTAATCACTTCGCACAAAAATTGCCTTATTTCTATGTAAACACCAGTTTAACCCTCCAGTATTTTTGTATTCTCCGCACAAAAATTCTAAGTATTTTTTTTTGTATAAACCACTAAGTATCCAATTGCCAACGGGCGCTGTCTAATTTGGATTCGAGCCGGGTAAGATCATAAAAATGACAAAAGTTTTTAACACAAGTGCGTATCCCAAACTTAAACCCAAATCATTGGTTAAGCTGGAACAATCCAGTGCCAATTGATCCAAATGCTTAGTGGTTTTTCTTTGAGAGTTTAGATAGTCGTTGTTGTGTGGTGGATATGGTTTCCTTTTTTTAATTTGAGAAGGGGCTAACTATATATTACTTCTAATAATTTATTAATATTATAAAAAATCCATTTTATACAAATGATAATAATAAAAAATCAAAATTTATAAGCCTTCATAACCCTTTGCATGTCACAAGCATGGATTAATACACATAATATTGAACTTATTTGGTATTCCTTCTCAACAGCTACGTATGAACTAAAAGTAAGAATCAATCTAAGCAAAAGAAATAAAAATAAATAGAAGTAGGATTCAATTTCTCTTCTTTAATTAACGTTTTTCTAGTTCCCAATAGAAATTTTCGACATTCGAAACCTCTTTATTTTTTCTTTGACATAAGACGTGCCGTTGTGGGATTTCATTAACAACATGCTCCCTTTTACGAACCCATTCATTATTTAAGGAATTATTTAAGGAAAGCACTACTCTTGTACTACATGTGATAAATTTCTCTACCCTTCGATAACTGTGCCACATCTTACTTTTCTTTTCTTTTTATTTTTCAAGTGGTAAAATCCACAAATTTATCTCTATGACATGAGATTAATAAAACCCTTCATTTAATTATCTAATAGCAAAATATAGTTCA